CAAAAATGAATATTAGGTACTTTATCAAACATTATACTGGGCAAGTAAAAATTGTTTCTGGGCAAATGAAATGTGAAAGTCACTTGCCCAAAGGGCAAGTGGTAAAAATCCTAAACGTCAACCCCTGAATATATGTGTGTGTGTGTGTGTGTGTATGTATGTCTTTTGAGACATAAAAAAAGAGTCAGAGTGAACGTTTAACCCTTTTGTAAACAGATTGTCTTTTGACTTTTTGGTCAAAAAACAAACAAATATGTGTTTGGTTTAGATTTTGCAGAGATCTACACTAAATATTTGGATTTAAAGCTGATAAACAATTTAAAGGTGACTCCTATTTTTTTTTGTTCTATTTTTATTTTAATAATGGGAAACTTTTTAGAACTTGCGTTGATTTCCCACTAGGTGGCAGCAGAGACTAGAAGTTTACCAGTACCCCTTTACAGCAAGGCTTCCCTAAAATATGCAATAAATACTTTATAGATATATTATTAGATCTGTTAAAACTTCAAAGCTTATTACTCAGTGTTTATTATGTATATTTAAGGCATATCAAAAGACAAACTGACCGATTCCAGCAGATCCCTTTAACAAACCCCCTACAGAGGCATAGACAGGTATGAGGGATTGCAGGCTAACAAAAGAAGCCAAACGACCCCCATTCCAAGGAGGTGGACCCTTTCATCCATTTCAATTTGCACGTTTTCTAAAGGCTTTGTTGGGCTACTGTATAAAGCCTGGAACTCAACGCTATTCCTGCCTTTTTGAATTGAATTGCTTTTTTTTGTCAAGGATTTTATTTCATTCTACTTTTGCTTCATGAATTTGACTCATTGCTTCTTCTTCCAGGGAGGGTCCTAATGCTTTAACTGTTGCCTGTAATTCCTGAACCTTTTGCTTTGCTTTTTTTATTCATGTGATGAGAATTAGATTTTTTTATCCCCCATCACTGCTTTTCCGATGCAATATTTTCAATGTCTGATTGGAATCTGTGGTTGGTTTTCAGATAATCATTATCATTAGGCAATACTAGGCAGTTGCCTAGGGCCCCAAGTTCCTGGGGGCACCGTAGAACTGAGTTTACATGTATGGTTAATACAACTATTCCTTATTTGTGCACAATAATTATGTTTTTGATAAAAATCCTTTTGCTAAAATGCCATCAGAACGCTTATAATAAGTGTGTCTCAGCCCCCCCCTTCAGTGTCCACCATATTGGATCAGTCCATTTGCTGCACATGTTCAGAAAGGTCCAAACAGACAGCAGCAAACCATTTGAAAACAAACGGAGGGAAGAGCAGTGTTGCCAACTTAGCAGTTATGTCGCTATATTTAGCGACTTTTCAGACTCCTCTAGCACTTTGATTTCTACAAAGCGCCAAATCTAGTGACTTTTTTCATGCTACTGGAGACTTTGGCAACAACATATGTAAGCACCAAACTCTGCTCTCCAGAGCAAGTAGATTGGTAACCCCGCCTCCTGCTCTCCTCTATCTTGTCTGCTGTCATGATTCATGCAGCTATTATTTCATCCAAATGAAAAATGGAGAACAGATAAGCAGATCATTGCTTGTCTACAGTGAAAAAAAAGGACTATTATTTACTTTTGC